AGATACTACGGGTCTGGATGATTGGAAAGATGTTTCCCTGATGTCCCTATACTTAAAGTATACCATGCCCCCAAACCCCAGTCTAATTACTATGGCGCCTGACTTACCTTTCTCCCTGCACCCCCAGCTCCTGGGACTCCAAACCGCACAGACCCTAAGCCCCCAAGCACAACAGCCCAAGTTCAGAAATACGCTAAACCGTCACACCCCCTAGTCTTCAGTTGTTGACACACTGACGCTCCGAAGCCTTTTCACCCTATACCTCTGAGCCACATAGCCGATAACGCCCAAAACCCTTTAACCCGAAGCCAAAGCATGGTTTAGGGTTCAGGGTTTAGGGTTTAGGGCTTAGGGCTTTGGGTTTGGGGTTTAGGGTTTAGGGTTTAGGGTTTAGGGTTCAAGGTTTAGGGCTTCGGGTTTATGGTTTAGAGCTTAGGGCTTATAGTTTACGGTTTATAGGGTTTAGGATACCAAAGCTGATAAGCCCTAGCCTAGCTGTCTTGCCAGTCCACCTAGCCGTCGGGCGCACCCTGCGCACGTTCCTCCAGGCGCTCCATAAGAAGGCAGCAGCACGGTTCTTTCTTGATAGTCTTTACTTAGTAGTAAGACCTGTTATTGTTATTATTTATTGTTATTCTTATTGTTGGTATCATTATTGTTATTACTGTTATGTTTATACGGCACAGATGCTTGGGGTTCCAGGCCTGAGGCTGTTACGGTGCAGTGTTAAGTGCATAGGGATTCTAGACTTTGGGGTCACGGTTAGAGTATGGGTTCAAGCTGGCTCCGTGTGTTTACGGCCAAGGTGCATGTGACTTCTAAATGGGTCTTCGAGGGTGCTTGACCTTCAGAGGTGGACGAGGACAGAATGAACACTGTTCTTGGGAAGCGTTTGTGTTTCCTTTCTTCGAGACTGAATCGAGAAGCCATCCGAGCGATGGTAGGGACTGGTAGGGCCATCAGCGAGCAGGTAAAGCTTACGGGGGAAGTGTGGCAGGCTTCGTCCCCCCACGAGGTTTGTGCGCAGGCATTTCACGTGGTAATATAAGGGCTTAATTTGTTGCCATTACTAGTTTGGGGTTCCTTGTTATAATCATCGTATAATACACCCCAAAACCCTATTCTAATTGTAAAGGCCCCCCTGTATTCTGCTGCTCCGTGTTTGGTGATGATTGCGTGTAGAGACGAAATTGCGGTAAAGGAGCTAGGGTGGGCAGGGTCGAAAGTCTCGGCTACCTTGAACTACATAATCTAACGTTTTTTGTAGGTTCTTGTCATAGGCCTTTATCTAGAGTTTATGGGGCCTCTTCCAAACGTAGGTTTTCGTAGTTTAAGGCCGGGTTGAAGGGCATCGTCATGCCGATCTCGTCATTGCCTCTGCTCGCCTGCCGCAGCTGCATCAAGCAGATCGTAGAGGCACATTTGTCCGCACATGTCTAAGCCGCAGTGCCCTTCACCCAAGTCTGACCGAGCTCCAGGTCACTCGCTGAAGCTAGTGCAGGCCGTTAAGTCAGCTGAGAAATGCCACGAGCTTCATGTGTGCTGTGGATTTTTCAGACCAACACAATTCCAAGACTTCAGTCAACCTTCCACCTCCTAGCAAAAACGAGACCCATCAGCTGTGCACGTTTCGCTTTCGAAGCCAGCAGAGAGTGCTGTGGGCTGAGTGAAGCTGTTGTGTTGTAGAGCTGGGTAGAGTGGTAGCTGAGGCAGTGACTAGCAAGGAGCTTGGACAGTTCGACCAAGCATTTGATGCTTTGAATGGGCCACAGTAAACCCTAAACCCTAAACCCATCTCAAGCGAGGGATTCTGTGCCTAGGCATTTCCGCGGAAGGGTTGTGGAGCGGCCACAGGAGACTTGAAGCTCTTCTCGGGTTGAGGGGCTTTCGGAGCTGTCCAAGGTTCCGGGATTCAGACTTCTAAACTGTAGCCGTTGAACTTGTTCGAGTCGACAGTGGCCTGACTGGAGCCTGTTTGGTCACAGAGAGACTGGAACGGCCGGTTGTTCCTTCCTGTAGGAAGTTAGGCAGAGTGTGATGTGTGGTTCGCTGCGTTCGGTGCCTTTGCCAATTGAATGGGCAGATGCTGGGAGTCTCACACGGTTTTCTTTTCCACTGCATGCCCAACTCATGTTCGATAGTATGAAAAGGCGTGTGGCGGTAGCGTGGCGAAAGGTAGTAGTACAGTAAGACTCATCACCCTGAAGAGAGAGGCAGCAATGCCAGTGTCTGTAGAAGCAGGACTATGAGCGTTCTTGCAGCTTTTGATTTCCGTTCGAGCTCGGGCTCGGTGGTGAAGGTATCGTCGGCATCTCCAGAAATCCGAGAACCACCCTTCAGCTGGAATGATCCTGAAACTTTGTGTGCAACCTGTATTGTAGTGCCTTCCTTGAGCAACGGCTTTTATGTCCTAGCCGTCCCAACCCTAGACCTAAACCTCAACTTTAGCAACATGTAATTCCTGAAACCTGTGACATCCGGGTCCGCTAGGAGCCTCTTCTGCCGCTGGCACCTGCAGGCATGTCGAGGCAGCGCAATTTGGGCGGGTGTTCAAAGGGCAGAAAACTGAGAAGCAGAATCGGCATTCTGCTCTGTGCTACATGACCTCGATCGTGCGGAAACATCTAAACCGTCTAGATACCACCCTAAGCCATGGCCACACCCGCCAAAGGAGCAGATAATATTAGAGCGACTGAAGTAAAGCAACTTGGAGCCTCGATCCCGTGCAGTCGCAAAGTCTTTGCTGAGCTGACCTGACTCTGATCTTGGGGCCTTACTGATCAGAACAGGGATGTTTGGGTGTAGTGTAGTATAACAACTTCGCAGGGAGGGACTGTAAGGGGTTTTCATTGTTGTATTCGGGCTCAGATGTCAGTGGAACTCAGCACCTGAACTTGGGCTCCAGATATTGAAGCACCTCGCGTGCGTTTCGTGCAGGGTTGCGGCCTTCGACGTCTTACTCAGGATGAAACCCGACGTGGGGCTTCTCCATTCATGGGCTCGTGTGGCATCCTCTGGCGTTCCGACTTTGTCAGCCTTTTTGTCTACCAGATACCGGGCATCGCCCGGTCTTTTCAGCCTGCAAGATCCCAAGCTGGCCCAAGCCGAGAACTTTGACAGTTTGCCCTTTTCTCTCGATCCTCGCTGCAAAGAGGTTTGAAGCCGCAGCCAAAAAGGCCGCAGGGGCTGGCGGGGCAGTGCCCTGTCTTGCATGTAGGTAGAGCTCCCTTGGATATGTTTTGGAATTTAGGGTCGCAGTTCGAGGAGGTTCCAGGTTGACTTGCACGCATTTCGAAATCTGTGAGGTTGGTCTGACAGTCGATTTGTGAAATGGCAGCTTGCGATATTTGGTCATTGCTATGGATAACATAGGTGCACCGAGGTTGGCGGCGACGACGGCTGCTACTTCAGAGTGGCTAGCGTTCGGTATGTTGTAAGCGTAGTTCAATCGTCTGGGCGGTGATTTAGCAGGGGCCAGTCCGGGTGCGCCTTTTCTTTTTCTCAGGCCTGAAAGCTTTCCCTGCCCCGGATCTGACACGAAGCCACCACAATATACGATAACTCCCTTGCAGAAATGGGATAAATTTCGGTCCTGGAAGTAGTTCAGAGACTGAGGCGCCGAAGCCAGCGGCGGCGAAGGCCAAAGCGCCTTCTGCCAGGGCCTCGATGAACTGTTGGTCGTTTTGGGCGAATGCAGCGGATGCTTTCAGTGATTATGCCAAGTGTGGGTCTTGCACCCTAGATCCTACATTAAAAGCCCGAAGCCCCAAAACGTGGAGTGGTTTCATGTATCATGCTACGGAGGGCATGGACAAGCAACTTTACAAGGATGTGTTGAGTGTTAAGGTTGTTTAGAACGGGAAGGTCCGCACAGCGAGAAGAGACAGACGGCATAAAACGGCAACAAGTAATTACTAACTAATGAGAGTACGTGTTTGACTCTACTTTCAGACCCTAGGTGCAGTACGGAAAGATGTGCGCACCAAAGAATGCAGGGGTGCAAGTACATAGAAGATAGTACATACAATAGGACGGCGGGCACCAATAGAATTGCTTCCGGCAGGTTGCAAGTCTATTTAATGATTGGAGTTGGAGCAGTCTGATAGCAGCATTATGAAGCAGGAGCCAATGAATGAGCATGTTTGTCAGTTGCTAAACTACAATATTTCCGTTGATGCTACCGCAAGTACAACATGGATGTGGCCCATATGGACTTTGAATGCCTGTAGAATCTCTTGCCAGTCCGTACTGACCGCTCGCAAAAGTATTCAAACAAAAGCTATTGACACCTTCCCTGTTTTAGGGAGGTGCTTCTTGGACTCCATTTGGTTCAAAGCCCAAGCATTGGGGCAGCTGCGTCGATAGCTATATAGGTACTTGAAAAACTATCCGAGTCATTCTTGATTCTTGAGGGTTCTTTAACTAGTACATTTTTTATGCGACAACACCTATATGAAGGTCCCTATAGCTTTGTATTAGCTGCTGAGGTGTGAAAGGAGGGGTGCTTGTGGTCTGCACTCAACCTATGCTGGCGATCCTAATACTTTCCTCACCAAAAGCTCTCACAAAGAGGTGCCGGAACACTCCCTTAAATCGACACCCCAACTGATTCCGCACCCGAGCTCTCAATTCATTTCCCAGTAGCCCAAGACCGAGCCTGCAAGGTGGTGGCAAAGTCGAAGGCTGCCCCCGCACCGAAGCTGACGACCCTAGAGGCTTCTGAGGGCTCAGCTCTCCATAACCAAGCAGCTCCAAAGCTTAATTACTGCACTCCACAAATCTCATCCCAAACCTTCTTTGCCCCTTCAGAGGGTTCAGGGATGGCTTCAAGGGGGTTTACCGTTAGGATTCAGGATGTTCCGGACTCAAGCTTCGAGTGTCGGATGCTGCTCGGGATTGAGGGACCCTAAGCGACGTCTGGTAACGCTGCGAAAGCCCAATCCCGAAACCGGCTTGGGCGATCTTGAGTCGCGCCGTGGTTCGTGCGGCTCTCCCGACAGGACAAGAAAAAGTTCGTAAAGATGTGGGAACACAAAATCGACGACAAGGAGTGTGAGGCAAGTCTCCGATTAAGCTGCCTTCGCAAAGTTTTCATAAATGAGCCCTTAAGCAGCACGGGAGGTGATTCTCGGTTTCGAGAGCTAGTGAGCAGCTAGTGATCAGTAAGCCTGGCCCCACTTTGTGAACGGTGGTTTTGCTTCTCGAACGCACGTGTAGTCCCAGCCTGTGCTATCCAAAGGCGTGGCTGCGCTGCTTTGCTGCAATCTAGAAATCTGATTTCTGCTTCTGCCGTGGCCTGATGGCACCCTATTATTATTACTACTATTGTTATTACTCTTACTATTATTACTAAAATTTCTATTATTACCATTATTTTAGTCTGCAGTCTCTCCGCCCTCCCCATCCTCTAGAGCAGGTGGAAGCTGAAGCAAACAAGAAAGCAAAGAAGGCAGGGCCGATCCCCCCATCCTGCGACAGAAAACCGGCCGCTTCCGTGTTCTGTGTAGGACGGTCTGGCGCAAAGTATATCAGTACAGCCTCATGGCGTGGTGTAGGGATATAGCAGTAGCACTGCCTTGTCGCATGCCAGGACTTGGAAACTGCGCTGAAAAAGCTGCAGACAGACGAAACCTACCTCAAAGTGAAAGAGGAGACTGTGGGCTTTGAATCATCAGTCCACTTCAACCCGATCGGGGATATCCCAACGTCAAGCGGGATTTGGACGAGTCCCAAGACCTGATCGAGGAAGGAACACACGTGAGCAGCATGTCGCGGCTTATATAGGCCGTGGGTCGGGACGAGTACGATCCAAAGGTTTGGGACCCGGCGAGCGGTCCGCTTCACATATTTCGGGATATTGGAAGAGGGCAGACCGCTTAGTGTTTCATCTGCAGGAGATAAAGGAACAGGAGATGCAAGGAAAGCGCCCGAAACTCAGTGAAACCTGTACTGGATATCAACTCGACTCAACGAAGCCCAGCAAGTGGGAAGCCTAAACCATGCCAAACCCTCTAAACACTAAGCAGTTCAGTTCCGTCGCATCGCCTTGGCTTTCTCGCTTGAGATTTCGCAGCACTAAGGCGAAGCTGAGCGCGCGGCGCTGGCTGCAAAGACAGATGCCAAGGTTTGGCACAGGATGCAATACAGGGGCCTGGACAATCAGAAAAGGGTTCTGGGGTATACAGATATTGTACCATAATGACAATCAGGAGCCCCGAGGAGTAGTTTTTGCATGTGGGAAAACGGGGTCAAGGGGTTCCAAAAACATACGTACCTCAGTATCAGCATTCCCTTATGCCCCAAACATAGGATTCTGATGTTAACGTACCTAGTTATTTTTGCAGGGGGGAGGTTCAGACTGGTTGCGCGCATGCCATTCGACGGTACGGCGCAAGCCCACACCGGCACCCGTTGACCCCCCCCCCCCGCTTTCCCACTCCACACATAAATCAACTTTTCTCTTGAGTAATAGGAGCTATCAAACAATCAGAATGACAATAGTTTTGATTATCGTCGTCGTCGTCGTCGTCGTCGTCGTCGTCGTAGTCGTAGTCGTAGTCGTCGTCGTCGTCGTCGTCGTCGTCGTAGTAGTAGTAGTAGTAGTAGTAGTAGTAGTAAAGCGCCATGAGTGGCTCAGATCT